CCCCCCCGACCGAGCCCTGCCAGGCTTCGGCTTCCTTTGGAGAATAGCAACGGGGAGCCGGAGTTCCCGACAGGGTGTGGATGCTTCGACGCACTCTGCAAGAGTCTAATGTGAGAGATGCAAGGAGCGCAACACTGCATTGCACAGAGTAGCGAACGGACTTCTTTGGGCGTCTCTGGCTTTCATTGTGGTGGGAAACGGCCACGTTAATTGGGGAGAGGTTCCTCCGTGTGCGGATCGATCCTATCGCGTCGAGTTGTGCTATATCGTGGTGGCTAGGGTCGGGTCGAGCTCGTCAGCTTTTGTTACTTCACAGTCCGACGCTCTATACAGTGTGAATTTCCTTCGGATTTCGATTGGATCATCCGAATCGTTGCGCATTCGATGGATACGGTTTCGGGATCCAGCAGATGGTAATAAGGTGTGGGTGTTCTAGGCTACGTCGGAGTACATTTATCGAACACGTACTCGTAGTCCCTTCCACTTCGGCAGTGCCTTGGTGAAATTGACCTCTAACGAAGCGATCGTTTGCCCTATTTTTTTTTTTACTCCTGTCACTCATGTGCAAGCAAAATCTTGGTGCAATGAAGCACGTTGCCGCGGCTGTCAGAGAATCATATCGGACATGCAGTAAGAAAAAGCACACGCCAAGATAATGTGGGCTGAAGAGCACAAACACCCAACAAAGACAAACTCAATACTATATCCAAGGAAGCCGTAAAGATTGCATGAATCCGACGTAAACAAAAGGCGTCGTCATCGGAACACGGAGCCGTGGCCATCCAGTGAGCTGGAATACTCCGTAGACGATCGAGGATACTTGGCGACAACGACCATTGGTAGGTATACAGTAATTCCCCGCATGAGAAACATTAGTGGCTGTAGGGTCTGAGACAGTGTTTTGTGGGATATCTGAATAAGCAGTAGCTCAGAACGGCCCCGCATGCGGACGACATCCCGTGGTCTGAGCGGAGAGCCGAGAAACCAACGTTGACTGAACTCGCAAACATGTACTTGCAGTCTACATTAGCTCCTTCCCTCCTTCTTCATCTGGGGTTTTACGAGTAGTAGAACACGAGGATATCCAGGAGCGTAAGGTCAATCCCAGCTAATATTGAAGACTACATGGTACTGGTAGACCCAACCTGAGACGACTCGTACGACTCTGCGAAGACGTGCACCCTTTGAGAGCTGCACCTTCTGACGATATATAAGCGTGAGATTTAAGAGGCAAGATCGACTGCTGAAACACAACGAGTTGCATGGCTGTAGTTGAAATGCGGAGAAGTAACTTCTCGGCATGCATGCCACGCTCGTTCCAGGACAAATGCAACGCCGAGGTTGACGGAGCTTATTCATCGACTCAGGTATATGAGCAGTCTTGCCGCTGATGAGTTTTCAGTTCAATAAATACCACTTACTAGTGCTGCCATCCGTCAAAATGCCCTCTCAATCTTTCATTCCCCTTTCCCCTGCGTTGAGCCTTGAACAGTGCAACGACCAAGAATTGACTGGTGAATCTCTCGCTGGAAAGAACATACTCATCACAGGCGGTGCATCGGGGATTGGTGCCGCGCTTGCAGAGATGCATGCGGAGAACGGGTATGCGTTGCCGTTGTCCACTCCATCCGCTGTCACCACCCCGCCCATCACTCCTACGATTTTCGAACAAATTGGCGTAGCGCCGCTAAATCCCATACTCGGAGTCATTGGTCATGCAATTTATATCCACTTATGACGAAAAGAATATTGGAGGAAGGATCTCCATAGTATTGCGAAAGTGACTTTGAGGTGAATGGTACACGCAAAGCTGTCTCGACTTGAGCATAGCTGATGTGTGCCGTCTGTACTGCTACAGAGAACCGTCGAATCCGGATGAAGCCGAGAAGTCTGACCTGCCAGGTCTACGATGTTGTCATAGTCTGTAGATTGTACATGAAAGCGCCACCAAAGCAAAAAGCGAGCGAAAAGCGTAAAACCGTGAAATGCAACTATGACATGGCTTCACCAAAAAGAAAACTGAAATCGTCCGTTTAGCGAATGCTGTATCTAGTGGAAAGCCGGAAAAGCCTTATCAATTTGTCTCTCAACGGATTGCAAAGGTGCGAATCAAGACGGAATCCGTGGCCACACGTTACTGGTGCAAAACAGCCAAGACGTATCATAGAACATTCGCAGCCGGGGAGAAAAAAAAAGGGGGGAAACAGGACAAGAAACAAAGCATAGTAAAATATAGTCTTCGCAGTCGAAAGGCTGACCTCTATAGATTACTCATACAAGGACGTGTACACACAAACAAGTAATCAAACAGACGAACAGACAAATTCCCTCCATCCACAGAAGGATCACCACCTCGACCATCCTTCACCCCTTTCTCCACCACCGCAGACTCCACCTCTCCTTCCTCGCCTTCAACAGCGCATACGCCAAAAACCGATACACGACCGCGCACACCCCCAACCACAACACATTCAACCTCGCATCACCGCCCTCCAACCCATACAGCCTCAACACCTCCTCGCCCGTCTCAATCGGACACCTCCCGCCGGCCAAGCGCTGGCCGTCCGTACACGTGAAGCGCACGCCGTCGAGGCTGTACGGCGCGAGGTTCGCGACGACGTACTTGATGGGCGAGAGGTGGTTCAAGTCGCGCAGCAAGGCGGGCATGTCGATGCTCATGATGCCGGCCATGATCTGGGCGACGCTGAGGAAGACGGAGGTGACGTTGACGGCGAAGCCCGTGTGCGCGAACAGCGTGTTGAACATGATGCCCAGGCTCTCGCCGCAGCTGACGATGCAGAAGCAGTTGAAGGCCATGAGGAAGAAGAGCTCGGGCGTGCGGGGCAGGCCGACGGCGAGGACGGCGAGGACCGCAAACACCAGGCTCGTGACGATTTCGAAGGGCGCTTCGATGGTGGCGTACTGCATGAAGAAGGCCTCGACGCCGTAGGCGCCGTCGTCGTGCTCGCGCGCGAAGACGTCGCGCTCGGCCGGGTAGACGGCCACGTTCTGCAGCATGCCGACGAAGTATATCGACGGGATCTCCTGCAGGAAGCCCACCCGGTTCTGCACGCTGTAGTAGTCGTTTTTGAGCGGCGCGAAGAAGAGCGCGAGGATGCCGCCGAGGCCGACGACTTGCATGATGCGCGCGACCATCAGCGGCGGCTGGCGGCGGAGGTTGAGCGCGGCGCGCCGCACGAGGAGCGGGTAGGCGATGTGGAAGCGCGTCGTGCTGCGTTTGAGGCTGCCGAGCTCGGCGGGGCTGGCCGTGTGTTGGTGGTGGATGTCGTGCTGCTGCTGGTGCGATGCCGACTTCTCGTTGGTCCATGAGTCGATCAAGTTGCGGACTTTGGCGCGGCTGGCGGCTTCCTTGCTTTCGTGCTGGAGGTCGACGGTGATGAGGTCGAGGGCGAAATCGGCTGGGTTGGTGCTGCGCGGGCAGTGGAAACCTTGGTCTGCGAAGTGCGCCAACATGTTTTTACCTGGGCCGGCGTAGACTGGGAACCCTCCACGCGCGAGGAGCAAGATGTTACCGAAGTGCTGGAAGAGGTCGGAGCGGGATTGATGAATTGTCAGAACGAGCGTGCGGCCTTCTTCCGCGAGGCCGCGCAGGACGTCGATGATAGAGGTGGCAGTGAATGCATCGAGACCGCTGGTTGGCTCATCAAGGAGCAGGACTCGGGGGTCGGTAAGGATCTGGACGGCAATGGTAACACGGCGCTTTTCACCACCGCTGATACCCTTGACCAGTTCGCCTCCAATGAGGTTATCTGCACAATCCTTCAAACCCATCTTTAAGAGTATGTCGTCAGCACGCTTGTTCTTCTCCTCCTTTGACATCCATGATGGAAGACGAAGACCAGCAGCGAACCTGAACATGGATTAGTGGCGGTCTGTGATTGCAAGGATGGGAGTTTACCTGAGGGTTTCCCGCACAGTCAGACAGGCCAGTAAAGCATCGTCATCTTGAGTAACATAGGAGATGATGGACTCGAGGACAGAATCCGACGGAATGGCGTCATTTACCAGGAGCTGACCGGCGGAGTGATACTTTGTGGAGAAGCTGTTCTTCAGGCGGTGTCCCATGGAATTCAGCAGTGTCGTCTTGCCTGATCCGGACGGACCCATGATGATGTTCAGAACACCCGGCTCGAACTGGGCGGTAACAGGCTTGAGTACTTCCAGCTGTTTTGTCTTTCGACCCATCCAGTTCCGCTTCTCGATTTCCAGGGAGTAACTTTCCAGCCGAAGCTTGACAGCCCGTACCTCCTGGAGAGACCTTGCAGTCATTTTTTCCTTGCCCGCCGACTCATCCGACTCATCCTTGCGCGCTCTTCCGATTTGCATCTCGACTTTCCAGTACCGAAGGATGAAGCCGGCACCGATGTAGAAGGCAACAACGAAGGCCAAGAGAACAATGATAGGCCTCCAGATCCAATCTGAGGGGAAACCGAGCTGTTCCATGATGTACTCGCCCGTGTACTGTTTGCAGGCTGGGCTCGAGGGTCCACCTTCCTCAGGACATGCGTAGAAATGCCCAGCAAACTCATTAGCTGCAAGGGCACCGAAGGCATAGAACTGTTCATTTGTCAGCTTGCGCTTAAAATTTCAAAAGACCCAAAAGCAGCTTACGCAATACGCTGTCCACTTGGTCCACCGCACATAGACGGGAATCGTGTTGGACTGAATGAAGTAGCCGCATGCCATTGACTGAAGGGTGTAGGCCATGTTGGCGACCAAGGAAGCACCAGCGAAGGTCCTTGATACTGCGACGCAAGTCATGGCAAAGCAGACAGCGATGTATTGCTCCAGCAGTATGACAGCAAAAAAGGTCATGAATTGGGTTCCTTCGGTGCGGAAGCCGGCCATGAAGTAAAAAATGAGAGAAAAAAGTAGCGGCACGGGAAAGTCTTCGATGAGCAGTCTGGCAAGTCTGCGGCTGATGAGGAATCCCGGAACGCTGACGATTCCTTCCCCACGCTCGCGGTCAAAGAGCTCAATGTCAATGGTTAGGCGGTAGACTTCGAACTGGAGAATGAGGTAGCCTTGGAGAGAAGAAGCGATGTAGAGGGCGCCTTGTCGAGAACGGATACCGGCCTGATCCTCGCCCAGCTGGTAGAAGATATAACCTGAACGGACATCAGTTGTCAGGCTTTATCAACGATGTTCACCGTGGACGAACCTGTGATAATGGACATTGCTATGGCCTCCAGAAAGCTACCAAACATGCCCATTGGGTCCCGGATAGTAGTGATCCACGTCCTCGCGGTAAGGACACGAATCTGGCGGCTGAGTTGGGCATGATAGTCTTTGCTCGAACGATTGGGTAGCGCCAGAGAAGACGACCGATTGTCGTCGTCTTTCCTGAATTTTTCCTCGGCATGTTGGCTCCAAGCTGCCTTGATAGCTTCAACGCGAGCAGTTGAAGCTTCTTCAAGCTCAGGGGAACGGATGTCTACGGCCACGACATCGATCAAGTGCTCTGCGGGGTTGACAAACGGGGGCAGTTCGTATCCAAGACTCTCGAAGTACGGCAAAGCATCAACAGTAGAGCCGGAGTAGGCTGGATGGCCCTTGGTCAGTAGTACGAGATTGTCGAAAAGATCCCAAATCTCAGAGCGTGGTTGATGTACTGTTCGGGTTAGCTCTGACGGTTCGGATATTCTAGTGTCCAGGTATTCATACTGGTCGTGATAATGGTCCTGCCCTTGCTCGCAAGGTTCTTCAGTGTGCGGACGAGCTGGAAGGCGCTCGTTGCATCCAGGCCAGTGGTCGGCTCACTGCATAGCTCGTTAGTGGTATGAACAGGGTAATGGGCTCAGGGTTCATACTCAAGGAACAGTACAGAGGGATTTGCAAGCAACTAGGATGAAGAGGTTAGTTGGTGTGACTGAAGGTAGAGTCGCATAGTGACGGCTAACCTGAACACCAATGCTCGTCCTCCGCTTCTCTCCGCCGCTACAGCCCTTGTGCACGTTGTTGCCGATCCTCGTGTCAGCAGCCTCCTTCAAACCGAGCTCCAGGATGACCTCGTCAACGATGCGGCGACGCTCGTCCTTGGTCACGGCGGCGGGAAGGCGCAGGTCAGCGGCATACTGCAGAGTCTCTCTTACAGTCAAGGTAGGCTGCAGCACATCCGTCTGCATGACATAAGCGCTGATGGCCGAGAGATCACCGCGGAGGTCGTGGCCGTTGAACAGGGTGGCACCGTGGATGTGCAGCCTCCGTCCGTGCATGCGGTTTGACATGACGTTGAGCAGCGTCGTCTTGCCCGAGCCGCTGCCGCCAATGACTGCGGTCAGGGTACCGCTCGGCATGTCTGCGGAGACATTGTGCAGGATGGGCTTGAGGTCGCGGGCATCAGCACTGGCAGGCTGGGTCGCGGACAGGGCGTGAAGCGCGGCAGCCGGGCCTGAGGGCGAGATGTCGACCTGGACGGCAATGTCGCGTACCGAGACGTGGACAGGAGCGACAGCACGCAGGGAAATGTGGTTGCCAGGGCCAAGATGGGGCGAACCTTGTTTCACGGCGCCGTCGTGGTTCAGCGTGTCACCCGAGTCGTCGAGCGGGGCGCTCTGACTGGCGCTAGGCTTGTCGACGTCGGGCTCCATGGTCAGCGCGGGACTTGCGGGCTCCTCGGGCACGTCGCTCGAGATGCTGGTGTTGACGGAGCCGTCATGGGCGCTGCGAAGGGAGAGCGCACGCGTCGCCCGCAAGAGCTGTCCGCATGCGGTGCGGCTGGCCTGGGCGGACGAGAGAGGCGATTCGCAGTTGCGCTCGGTACGCAAGCGAGCCTGGAATGGTGGACCAGCCGGCCTGGAATTCAGCCGGCACGGCAACGCGGGCGCATTCTGGAGTTCATGCGAGCCGTTGCGTGCAACGGCGCACCGCCTCAGCCGGCGGCGCGTGCTCAACACCACGTCAACGCTCGTGCAGGTGAGAGCTCGTCCTCGCTCGTCCTCGCTCTGGTCCCGGCTCGGGCCCCCAGCATCACGAGGTCCCCCAGAGTTGCGCCGCGCGGGATGCTGCGAGCCATCTGGTCTCGCAAGCTCAAGCCCGAGCCCAGGCTCGATGCGAACGCCTGTCTGGACCCTGGGGCCCGCTTACCACCGGCTCCGCCAAGCAGGGCAATCCTCGCCAATCGCCAGGGTCCCAAAATCGCCGTTCGCAGTAAGCTCGTCAACTCAAAATCCCATCGTCCAAGCGGGCGGAATGCTGACGTTGCAGCCGTTGAGGCAGCTGCTCCGGCGTGGCTGCTCCGGCGTGGCTGGCCATGGCGACGGCCAGAGCGAGAGCGAGCAGTCGGTATGGCGGGCGGATAACGTTAGGCGGCTCGCGGCTCCGGCTCCATCACCACGACTCGTCCGCAATGCCGCCATTTCGGTCGCTGCCGTGCCTCAGGCAGCGCCAATGCATGTCAACGCCGCGACCACACGCGTGTTGCTGAGCGGGCCCGGGGCGCTGGCAGATGCCACGGATGCCACTGGTCGAGGCGCAGATCTCCCGACGCCTCACTCGCTCTCGCTGCCCGCCGCCTGACTCGCCCACGCCCTCTTTCTCTCACATCGAACCCTAACCATCAGCCCGCGCAGTGGAGCCCGCGGCGATCGAAGCCATCATTGCCTGCATCGGATGCCGCCCCTTCGAACCATCACCAATCGCCAGCGCCGCCTGTCGCCGCCTGTCGCCGCCTCACTCGGTCGGCCGAACCGACTAGTCCCGTCTGCGAACACTCGCGCATCGCCACGGTCGCGACGGTGGGGACTGTTCGGATGCTGTCAATCCGCAACGATCCCGAGCGCCGTGGCTCCGTACTGACGACTGCCGTGCGGATACACGTTACACGACATGGCCCACCACATACACAGTACTGGTCTGACGTCCCACCGTCCACGCCGCCGACATGTGCGCCTGCGGCTCCATCCCAGATCTCGACCGCCCGCGTGCGCAGCAGCAAGCATGCTGCCTGGTAAGGCTGAGCGGCGCCGGCCAATAATCGACGCGGCGGCCACGCGATGCGGGCTCGGCGAAACGGCACATGGTGCACGGCGAAGGATCGTGGAGCAGCAGAGCAGCGTTCGCGACTCGGAAGAAAGCGGTCTGATGAGGGCGTGCATGCTGCAGCTGCGTCCGCTTCAAGTTCGTCTCCAACACCACTGCCGCCATTCACAACAGTCGCACAACAGTCGCTGGGGCCGCTAGCAAACGGCATCGTGAGCCTTCCCCGTTGCGGTGCTGCCCGCGTTCGCGCGCATCCTCCCAAGTCGTCGACTCCACGCCGCGCACGACGCAGGGCCCCCAGCCGGCGCAGCCCCCCCAGCACCTGCTCCCCTGATTGATCAATTCATCTGACCACCCCTCTTCACCAATCACCCCGCTAACACACAGGCAAAAGCCAAAACACACCAACCCCTACCTCACATGCGCTCCGCCGGAGATTGGGCTGCCCCAGCACACACTGCCCAAACCGGTTGGATTGCGAGAGATGAGGGGCGTGCGCGTAGCGTCGTGTCGGCACGCCCTAGCTCTGCGATCGCCTTTCATGCCGCGCAGGCGCCAGATGGGACTTTCCGCTCGTCATCTGCAGGAAATGCCAAAGCCACAAACCCTCTCCCCGTCTCCGCTTCCGACCCCATCGGACTGCCGTGTGCCCCCTCGGCCACGACGACCGCTCAAACGCCCCAAGTCGGCGGAGCTGTCGCCGACGCGCACTGCAGAGCTCCTGAAACGTCGTGGCCTGCAACCGCCGTCCGCACCTCGCCGTCCGAGTCCGCGGCAATCGACGACACCTGTCAGCAGCCACGTTCGTGGAGGCTGACATCGGCCAGAAGCACCCCTGCATGCTGCGGTGGGCCTGAAAAGGTGTGCGCATTGCGTCGTGACACTGCGTATGCCGAAAAGAGAGGCGCTGTGATGGGCGCCCACCATCTCACAGCACCTCGCGGTCATCTGACCAGAGGTGTGTGTGGCCCGCCATATTAATGGCTGTCCGCACCCACCCTACCTTCTACACGTTACCGACCTCGACTCACCAGCACAGTGATATAATGACCATGGCCGGAGCTGAGCGGGTGAGAATGTCAGACAGACACCGTCAGAGTCTGTTGTATTGGGCGTGGGTGAGTGGAGCTTGAGATGCACCCTCAACTCACCACCTACCTACGTAGTGGTGACCATGTTCCCGTACGCTATGGATTCGACTGCCCCACCGAGGACGGAGCTTTGTTGGATAAGCCGGACGGCTGATGGGCAGACTAGCAGACGCCACCCTCCAGCCAATCGCGCTTCCGTTGTCGCTGCGCTCAAGCCAACATCGTAGATTCCGCATCTCCGATGCCGTGGGCATGCGCAAAATGCGATCATGCCCAAACCCACAGGTTATCGCTCGCCTGTTCTTCACCGGGGACAACGACTGCAGCTGCCATTCACACGTCTAGCTTACGCCGGTAACCATGAAGCCGCGCCGACGTCCTCGTTACCGAGTGAGGAAGTATCGTTCTTGTTTCGTCCAAGTACTACTACCCTCCCTCTCTAGCTCTCTTCCTCTTTCGCTTCCTTTCCGGCGACTAGCGCCGTCCCTCGATTGCCCCGGTGCCCAACGGGCATCCACATGCTCACTACCACCACCATCCTTCGCTGACCCCGACATACACCAACAAGACTGCCCTCGACGCCATCCACGCTAGCCTACACCACTTTTCCCTGCCTCAACACTACCGTACCCTTGCCCCACACGCGCACGCAAACTCCATCGTCCCGGCCTCATAGGATCTCGATCGTTGGCGTCTAGAATGTCATGCTTGGGCGACAAGGCGCTAACAAGTTCGACATGACTCGACCTTCATCCTAAATCACTCTTTCTCCGGGCCGCGGCGGCTAAAATCGGTGACGATGCGCCATTGTAGGGAACGGCAACGCGGTAAGGGTTACTCCATCCGTCCCTGCGTGCGGTGCAACAACGGCGCATTCGAGTACGTCGGGAGGGGGATATGTACTGAGTATATTACTTTAGCGTGGCTGCAAGTAACGAGTAATGATGCGTTGCTGCTAAGGTTTTTGACGCGTGGACCTTTCACTTCTCGTGTCTCTTAATTTATGTTATTAGGGAGCTGCTTAGGTAGCGCCGCCAATAATAGAAAAGAATATTCAAGGAGACAAAGGACGATGATGATGACCTGCTTGCTCGCCACTGCTGCTAGTCACTTTACCCTAGGTAGCCTCAAGCCAGTATGCCCTGCGCTGGTTGGTCTGCTGCCGCTGTCAAAAAATCCATGGCGTCTTCGCCAACACTAACCAAACTACCGCATCCATGTAGTCACCCTTTAGTGGCTGAAACTACTGATCTGGTGTGCCGAGAGACACAGAGTAGTGGCGGTGATATTATTGTGGAGACTTTTGGAACCAAGAAGAGGCGCCGCGTTGGCGCGAGCCGGAACGGGCAAAGAATAGAAATCAGGTTTTCGTTTTTTTTTCCCTTCGGCATCGCATAGGTAGGTAGGTACCGGCCTAATAGGGAAACAAACAACTCGGGCGTGTGTCTGTCCGTCCCTTTGATGCTGATCAGGAGGAGGGGCTCGCTATTCCTGCCTGCTCTGCTCTGCTCCGCCTCGCCTCCGGGGGAATGGGGGCTTGGCATGGGAAGGCGGAATTAAGGAGTTTGTACGTCCGTAGTTGCTGAGTAGTGCGCTTACCTGTGAGTCCCTCGTTACACAAAGCCTGACGACCGACCGGCCGGCCGGCAGGCAGGCGAGCGGATCGGAGAGTACTCCGTTGCCCGTCCCGTCCCGTCCGTCCATCCAAAACCCTGCGACGTGACTCAGCTGCTCAAGGGAGGGTCTTGGGTGTCGCGGCAGGCAGGGGTTGGTGGTTGCGGCGCCGTTGACATGCGACGTTGGGTGGCGACGTGGCTGGGCGGCGCGGGCATTAAGGAAGAGATGATGGCGCCGGCGGGATTATTGCAGCAGCTTGTTGGAATAATGAGAGAGAGGGGGAAAAAAAAAAGGGACTTCTTGCTACTACCACGTCTGCTTCTTTTCAGCAGCGGTAGTAGATTGATAGATCTTGTGCTCCTTGCACTCTCAAACAGCGTCGAAACATCAAAGTGCGCTAAGATGAACAGAAAATAGATCGAGGTTGCGCTAGACGGGAACGACCACCAACTCTACCTCCACCACCACCACCACCACCACCCTAGAAGCTGTTGCTATATCTCGGTATTATTGTGTCTTGCTCGCCTTGCTTTTTCCCCTCGCTACGACTCATTCCATTCACTTGGCTTCGCGATCCACGGCTCGATCCGCCTTCCGATCCTCCTTTCCTTCCGTCCCCTGTTCATTTTTCTTCTTCTTCTTCGGTTCTTACCCGTCGTACCGGGTTTTTTGTGGGGATTGAGAATCTGACCGGTGAGAGGAAGGGTATTATGACGTACAAATGCTCCGAGTTTTTGCTTTTTTTCATTTGCAACGGGCGATTACGAGGTTTGCCTTGGAAATGGTGATAAGAAAGAACAAGGGACGAGAGCTCTTGCGGTGGAGGGTGGTGTATCCGTATCTGGGTGAAGGTCTCGCGTAGAAGCAGGCTACCTTTTGGACCATCACCCCGGACCTCTTTT